CGGGTAAATGGATGGAGTTAGAGAAGATAATGCTAAGTGAAGTTAGCCAATCCCAAATAACCAAATGCCAAATGTTTTCTTTGATATTAGGAGGCTGATTCATAGTGGGAGAGAGAGAGGAAGCATGGGAGGAATAGACAAACTCTAGATAGGGCAGAGGGGATGGAGGGGAAGGGGGAATGGAGGGGGCATGGAGTTATAAATGATGGTGGAATGTGATGATCATTATTATCCAAAGTACATGTATGAAGACACGAATTGGTGTGAATATACTTTGTATACAACCAGAAATATGTAAAATTGTGCTCTATGTGTGTAATAAGAATTGTAATACATTCTGCTGTCATATATAAATAAAAAAAAGAATACAAGCAACAATAAATGCTGGCGAGGATAATGGGAAAAAGGTGCACTCATACATTGCTGGAGGGGCTGCAAATTGGTGCACTCTGGAAAGCAGTATGGAGATTCCTCAGAAAATTTGGAATGGAATGGAATCACCAATTGACCCAGCTATCACACTCCTCAGTATACACACACACACACACACACACACACACACACAAAGATCTTAAAATCAGCATTCTACAGTCACACAGCCACATCAATGTTTATAGCAGCTCAATTCATAATAGCTAACCTAGGGAACAATTTAAGGGCCCTTCAATGAATGAATGGATAAAGGAAATATGGTGTATATATACACAATATATATACTCAGCCTTAAAGAATAATGAAATTGTGGCATTTGCAGGTAAATGGATGGAGTTGGCATGCTAAGCAAAATAAGTGAATCCTAAAGAATCAAAAGTCAAATATTTTCTGATATGTGGATGCTAATTCATGATAAAGGGACTGCTGGGGAAGAATAGAAGTACTTTGGATGAGACAGAGGGGAGTGAAGGGAAGGGAGGAGTCTGGGGGTAGGAAGGGTAGTAAAATGAATCAGATATTAATACCCTATGTGCATATATGACTACACAACCCGTATAATTCTACATCATATACAATCAGAAGAAGTTATATTCCTTTTATACATAATGTGTCAAAATGTATTCTACTGTCATGTAAATTATTTAGAAGAAATTAAAAATAAAAAATAAAATGTTTTTAAAATCTCTTTAGATTTTGCCTTTAGATTTATATATAATATTTTTAAAATCTCTTTAGATTTTCTTCTACCATATGACTTTTGTAGCAATGGAAATAGAATTGGTTAAGTAAGGATTGTCATTTTTAGCTATGGGTCCTTTGTAAGTTGGAATTTACCTGAAAATATATACAAGCTGAAGTCAAACCAAAAGACAAAAGAAATAAGATCAAACAATTGGTAATATGTCCACAGAGAAAAGAAAAACAGTTTCACTGAATACAGAAATTATATTAAGATAGATGAATTCGGAGAAGATGAGATTGTCACAAGCTTGTATTTTTATCAACGTGAAAGTGGACAACCTGGATTTGAAGAGACAGCTGTATATCAGTACTTGGTTATTTTGAAATCCTGCTACTTTCCAAGTGTCAGATTCTATTAACTCACATATGACTACCAATGTCAAGAGAGATGTCAGGAACAGGGTCTCTGGGCTCTCAGCACAATTTCACATCATGTCATTTGAACATATCCCTGTTGGTCTTTATAAGCCCTTTGTTTACTGTGAGCCAAGATCTAAAATAAATATTTTTTAAATTGTTTCACATTTTAAGAAGATTTTTAAAAGGCACATTTACATATTCTCTTACAGACTTAGTTCCTCCTTCCAAAGGGAATAAAAATTATTAAAGATATGAGACATTGGTGTCTTTTTCTAGATTTGCAACTATAAATTGAGTAAATTTAATCCCAAATAGTCTGTTTTCTGTGACTAATTTCCTCCTGTTGCCTCTTAATTTCCAAACATTCTTTCTTCCTCTTGCCCTTCTCAATATTTGAGATACAGTACCAATGACCAATAGGGCTTAACATTATCTTCACATGTATCATTAATGTTTGGTTACATGCATTTGTTTATATGTTTATAGATTATTGTTAAATATTCATTTATTTAACATCATCTATTGAATACTAATTATATGCCATGAACCGTGCTAGCAGTTTTCCACATGCTATCTTATATTTGGGTCTCCAATGCCTTCTTTACCTTTGGCCCCAGGGCTATATGTGGTCATTCTTCATAATTTTCTCCTCAAGAAAGTGTGAAAGTAACTGCCCATAAAATTTGCCTGGATACTATAATTAATTAAAAGACTTAAATACAGAAACATGTAATAAACTGTAAGAATAAATTACAAACATAAAAAAGAACATTTGCATGCTCTTGGTTGATGATCCTAGTGATTTTAAGCTCATCTTCCTGTATTCTTTCTTTAGGACAAGGAATGATTAATGTTGGATTTTCATGCAAACTGACAAGCCATCAGGAAAGATATATTTAGTCAAAGAGCATTTGCTGGCTTCAAATGATAACAATAGCTAGCTTCCTACTCTGTCACTGAGTAAGGTCAGTCGTGGTTAAGCAAGCACTGAGGTCAAAGCTAAATCAAAACTATCCTCATCTTCTGAAAACTAGCCTGTTTCTCATGGCTGCAATATGTACAACTTGAGAGTTACACTTAAGCAAAAAAGCAGCCTTTATTCTTAGAGAATATGTCCAGTTTAAAAAAAAAACAAAACTGACTTTTAAAATAAGGAAAAAAGTAGGAGTGTGCAAATTAAATAAAGATAAGTTGTTAAAGGTTAACCAGTTTCTCCTGGCAGTGTTATAAGCAAATGATATAGTCATTCTCTAGTTCTACAATATTTAGATGTTTTATTTCAGTCACATAGTGGGAGCTGAGAACAAATGTGGGTAAACCAAACACAAAATACCTTCACAGAACATAAGCTAAAAACCTATCCCCTTACTCCTTCAGTGTTGAATCATGTTATATCTTGACCATAAATGTGAAGAATGTCAAACTAAATCTGATATTGACATGGTTTGGTCCATATACACAGAAAACAACCATTCAGAAAACACATAATCATGCCATCTGTATGGTTCCTATGGCTTCATAATAAATTTCCAGAAATTTAGGAGATTAAAATGTCTATTTGTTATTTCCTAGTCCCTTGTTTCTATAACTCTGGGCATAATGTAACTGGATTCTCAGCTGAGAGTCTCACCAAGCTAGACTCAAGATTTTGGTTAGGCTACATTCTCAAGGGGAGCTCAGGGTCTTCTTCCAAGTACATACAGGTAATTAAAACAATTTAATTTCTTGTGATTGTGGAACTGAGGTTCTTCTTTCCTTGCTGATCATCATTGAGTTTTGCTACCCTCAAGTTCCCAGCCACACAGTCCTCTCACAGTAAGAAAGCATACTTCTTCAAAGCTAATAGAAAAAAATCTTTTTTTCCTTCTCTCCTTCCTCCCTCCAATTCTTCCTCTCTCTCCACCTCCCTCATGAAACAATTGACTCTTATATGACACAGTGTAATCAATCATAAAAGCTACTGTACCATGGCTTCTGCTCTATAACACAACCTTCAGCAAGGAAGTGCTTATTCCATTGTACTCACAGGTCCCACCCACACTTAAATAGAAGGGATTATGTATTGCATATGGAAACAGAAATTTTGAAGCCATCTTAAAGTTCTGCCTACAGCCACTACTCAGACCAAAATCTAAAACACGCAATTGAGGGAGAGATAATAATATTCTTTACCTCCACAATCTAGAAGTTAATGTAAATAGTTTAAAGACCAAGAATAGTGTTTTCTAACAGAGAGAAATCAATCTATTAATAATCCCATATGCATTTACTAAAATTCCCAGAGGAAGACACTCAGGGCTTAGACTCAGTGTACCCTTTGAATTATGCCTAGTAGAGATGCATGTTCCTATGTATACTAATAATAGGGCTGGCAAAAATTAATGGATAACTGTATAAGAGATATGTCCCAATTTTAGCAACCCCAAAACATAACTTCCCATGAAACCAGTCCCTTTTTACCACTAAATTCCTCTTTGTTAGTTATTACATCTAATATCTGGCTACATGCTAGTACAACAACATTCCATTTTCTACCGAAAGAATAAAATTCAATATTTAAATTATAACACTGATGTCTTCTGGATTAGTAATAAAGTAACCAGATGACCATGCTTTGATTCTGCAGGTTTTTTTTTTTTATCCTCGCACTAGGAATGTGAATGGCCTATAAATGTGATGGAACATTTTCTCCTTTGGTTAGGTGACATTATATGGCAAAGTGATAGGGCAAGGATTCCCATGATTATAGTTTGTTCTTCGCAGGGAAGGTGAGAGTTCTTCTGGTAGCTTTGAAGAAGTAAGCAGCTACATTATGAGAAGTTCAGATGGCTAGGCCTTAATTCAACTTTCAGGGGCTAAGACATACCCCAAGCAAATATTTAATCTGAAAATTGGGACCTCAGACCTCAGGCCTACAGTTGCAAGGAACTTAATTCTTCCAACAATCTGAAAGATACTCAGAGGAGTTCCTTTCCCAGGTGACACCTTCATTTTGGCCTGGTAAGCCTGAACAGAAGATCTAGCTAACCCATGACTAGGAACCTGAACCATGAAAACTGTGGGATACAAACAACTCATGTTGCTTTAAGCTACTTACCATGTGGTAATTTTTCATGAGGTATAGAAAATTAACATATGAGCAAAAGGATAAATAAATAAACTGGCAAAATTGATTTTAGGTAATCTCTGTAATAACACTTCATATAACTAAATTCCAATTGATTTTCCCAATAGATACATTATTTTCAGGCTTTTAAAATGTTTTGAAAACTGAAATAAGCACCTACATTTATGGTACTCCAAAACAAATGATAAGCCAAAGGTCAAACTCTTTAAGTGATGAGAGAAAGCCAAATCATTTGGAGAACTAACATATAACTCCCACAAGGTTAAAAATAAATCTGAATAACCATGGTATATGTTATTCATGTACTTATATATGCACAAAAACAAGGGGTACTTACTCTGAAAGTTGTTCACTGAGAAGACTCGAGGATGATAGAATCCTGCTTTGCAAATGCACTGATAGGCTCCAAGTACAAATCCTAGGCCTTTAATTGGCATACACTGTGAAAAAGAAAAGATAGCAATGTAATTGATCATAGTTTATTTCACAGATATCCATCATTCCAAATGCTAACAGAACTAACATATTTTCCAGACATTAAATATCTCTTTTTTGAACCTTTATTTTAGGTTTGTTTGCCAACAGACATTTTTTTTTAGAAGGAGCGTAGAAAATTGAGTTTTCTTTCCAAATATACTCCATTACAGTTGCAGTTACCATATATCTTTCACTTATTCAGTTGCCACAGAAAGAAATTACTAGACATAAGTTTTTGTTTTTAATGCAACAATATCATCTTTCTGCTTTAAGAAATATTCACAAAACACATAAGAATATTTTAAGTAATTCCATACTAAACATTTCTGTCAAAGTAAAAGTAGATAGGAAGAGAGATAGGAGACATGGAAATTGCATTTATGAATTAAATATTAATCAAATTTCATACTTAGATCAAAATAACACAACTGATTAAATAAGTAAAATTTAAGTTGAAAATATAGAAAAAAAATACAGATAAATTAATGATCCCAAGGGTTTTGGGCCCAAAATCTATTTCACAGATACATGTTCTACATTGACATAAAAGAAGAAATAATATGATAAGCTTTTCAAATATGTCATACCCATAGACAATAGACATTTCCCCAAAATGTAATATTGTCTTCTTTCAAGAATTTCACTTAACCCAGGTAAAACTGAGCTTAGCATACTCAATTACAGAAATAAGGAATAACCACTATTAAAATATAAAGACTATGTCAGTAAAATGGGTGTTTCCAGAGTTTAATCAACATTGAATTAAAACTTCTTTCCTGATATTTCCCTGCCAAGATCCAACCCTTTTCCTTTATGCTATTATAATCTATTAAAGGAACTTAGAACATAACAGATTTAAAAGTTATAAGATAGTCTCTATACAGAGGCTCTTGAGAGAAATGTTTAAATAAATTTTTTCTTTTACTTGAACATTGTGTTTTCTTTTCTTTCTTTTCTTAATTTTTTTAATTTTTTAACTACACGACAGCAGTGGAAAGTATTAAAATTCTTATTACACATATAGGGCACAATTTTTCATAGCTCTGCATATAAAGTATGTTCATACCAATTTAAGCCTTTATACATGTACTTTGTGTTTTTTTGCATTACAATTCTTAATACACATATATACCACAATTTTTGTATCTTTGTATATAAAGTATGTTGACACCCAATTCAGGTCTTCATACATGCACTTTGTATAATGACATCCATCACATTCCACCATCCTTGCTAATCCACTGCCACCTCCCTTTCCCTCCCAACCCTCTTCCTTATCTAGAATTCATCTATTCCTCCCATGCTCTCCCTCCCTACTCCACTATGAGTCAACCTCCTTATATCAGAGAAAACATTTTGCATTTGTTTTTTGGGGGATTGGCTGAATTCACTTAGCATTATCTTCTCCAATGCCATCCATTTACCTACAAGTGTCATGGTTTTGTTCTTTTTTAATGCTGAGTAAAATTCCATTGTGTATATATGCCACATTTTTTTATCCATTCATCCAATGAAGGACATCTAGGTTAGCTCCACAGTTTAGCTATTGTGAATTGTGCTGCTATAAACACTGATGTGGCTGTGTCCCTGTGGTATGCTGTTTTTAAGTTCTTTGGGTATAGTCTGAGGAAAGGAATAGCTGAGTCAAATGGTGGTTCCATTCCCAGATTTCCAAGGAATCTCCAAACTGCTTTCCAAATCGGCTGCACCAATTTGCAGTCCCACCAACAATGTATGAGTGCACCTTTTCCCCACATCCTTGCCAACACTTATTGTTGTTTGTCTTCAGCCATTCTGACTGGAGTGAGATGATATCTTAAGTGTGGTTTTGATTTGCATTTCTCTGACTGCTAGAGAGATGAGCATTTTTTCATATATTTGTTGATTGATTGTATATTCTCTTCTGAGACGTGTCTGTTAAGGTCCTTGGCCCATTTATTGATTGGGTTATTATTTTTTCGGTGTTTAACTTTTTGAGTTTTTTATATACCCTAGAGATTAGTGCTCTATCTGATGTGTGAGGAGTAAAAATTTGCTCACAGGATGTAGGCTCTCTGTTCACCTCACACTTTGTTTCTTTTGATGAAAAGAAACTTTTCAGTTTGAGTCTATCCCATTTATTGATTCTTGGTTTTAATTCTTGCGCTTTAGGAGTCTTATTAAGGAAGTTGGGGCCTAATCTCACATGATGAAGATTAGGGCCTACTTTTTCTTCTATTAGATGCAGAGTCTCTGGTTTAATTCCTAGGTACTTGATCCATTTTTGAGTTAAGTTTTATGCATGGTGAGAGAGAAGGGTTTAATTTCATTTTGTTGCATATGGATTTCCAGTTTTCCCAGCACCATTTGTTCAGATACTATATCTTTTCTCCTGTGCATTTTTTGGCACCTTTGTCTAATATTAGATAACTGAAATTTTGTGGGTTAATTTAAATAATAATTTTATAATGTAAGCTCAAATGATAAGCATTCAGGTTAATATTACATATCATGAAAACTCCAGCAAATAAAAAAAATTATACAAGGTAACTAGTTAATCCTTATTCTAAAATCAGAAATGCAGCAAGAAATCTTGGAAAAAATAACTTTCTAAAGGACCTTCTTGAATAACGTATTTCATGAATAATGTTTTTTTAACCCAATACAGACTTATATTCAATTATATCTTATATTTAGAAACATGGTTCTTGCCAGAGCAAAATGAAATGGCAGATGAGTACCTGTCAATTCAACTAACTTAGCAAATATTTACAAAACAATTGCTGTGTATCTAGAGCATTCCTGCACAACCTAATCGAAATACAGCATATTCTGTTTATAAAGATCAAGGTATACAAGAGGTCAAATCACATTTCTGAACTAAAAAAATATAAAATGGCAGAGAAAATTTACAACATTTACTTTGGATAAGTACTAATATTATGGAAAAGCATATTATTTGTAGTCAGTCAGAAAAGGTAGATTTGAGTTCTGACTTTATCACTTTCTAAAGATGTAAATTTAGGAATTCAGGCTTGTTCTCTTTAATCTCTATGAGACTTGTTTTTTTTTTAATTTGTAAGAACTTCTTTAGTCAGAGTCAAATATAGTTTGAAGGTAAAGCTATCAAGATGTCCTAGGGTAGAAGAGGAATAGAAAAACAAAGGATGACACCAGGGTTTTTACCCAGCACAATCATAAGAATGGAGTTAACATAAACTGATCTGTGAAAGACTGCAAGTGGTATAGACTGGGGTAAAAATCAGAAGTTCAGTGTTGAAAATATTAAGTGTGAAGGTATCTATTTGAAATTTAATTCTAATCTCAGATATGGAGCTTGATAAACTGATATGATGTTTAGGCTGTATAATTTGGAAATCATTTGCATAAAATTGATAGATAAAACTGACATACTACAGGAAGTGAAGGAAATAGGACCAAAGATAGGAGATAAATCCACCTGTGACATTGGTCAATTCTCTGGTTACCCAAGTTTAATTCATCTGATTGGGCTAATGAGTCGTGTATCTCCAACCACCCTCATCACTCCATGTATATCCCTCCTGAAGTTCCTTACTAGGTCAAAGAAAACAATATTCCCCAATAGAGGAGGGCCATTCCATAGTCAAAGGTACACAAGTAGCTGTGCTTCTCTATGAGAAGTATACCCAGGTATACTAAGAGTTACTAAGGTTACATTAGAGTACATTAAACATTTTGCTTCACTGGAATTTGGAGGTTAATATGCTTTCATTAAAATTGCACTAATTTCCTCATGATATGAGTCAACACAACAAAGTGACTCAGTAAGGAATTTTAAATATTTAGGGAAAATCGACAGTTTATTGAAATTTAAACTGATTCTAGAACTGACATAAAACTGAAGGTTAAAAAACAATATGGTTGATTTGGCAACATTGCCAAATAAAAAGTCCCTTGAAGTTTAAAAAGAAACTTTCCTAATTTTATTACGGAAAACAGCAAAATAGATATTCATTACCTTGAACTTTTTGTTTTAATCTCTTTTTTTCCCACAGTGCTGGGGACTACACAGGCTACACAAGCACTCCACCACTGAGCTACACTCACAGTCTTGTTTCATTCTTAAAATTATCTTAATCTCAAAGGAAAGAAAAAACTCTCAGTCAGTTAAAATCAATAAAAGTGCATCATCCTTCTATTGTACTCCCTCTGATGGTGGGGTCTTCATGGAACCTGATGTCCTGTTGCTTACATACAGTTGCTGGAATAGAAATTGACCTTGGGCTTATTCTTCTACTAAGGATTATAAATTTGGAATCAACTTTCTATGCTTTCTAACTATAACCCCCATTCCTTACCTATCAAATCCCTATTACCTCCCAACCAAAATTATACATTTTCAAGATTAGGAAATTAATATAGTCAATATAGCCTTTAAAAATCTCTATAAATATAGTGAATGCTCAATTGTTTCCCCTTTTGGGACTTATTTTTATAATTTTTTCCTTTTTGGATTTATAATATAAACAGAGATCCACAGTTAATACAAAAACTTCAGAATTTTATTCTAACATTCATTTAAGATTTTTAAATATTAATTATATTAATTGTAGGCATTAAAGTCTAAAAATAAAAGTCAAAGGAAGCAGAGATGGAAAAGCAGCACTTCTTTCTCCACAGGGGTAGCTATTACATAAGTGGCCTTTGATAAACATTGAAATTTCTATATTAAGAGTTATTGTACCCCCATTAGTGAAGAAGATGCATACAATATAAGACACCCTCTTTAATAAGTCTTACCAAGCCATATGCAGAGATTTACTATAGAGAATTCTTGAGAGTCCACCACCAAATTCAGGTTTCTAGGATTAGACTAGATTCAAATGAATAAGAGATGATGGTCAAGAGATCAGAGTAACATGTATAAATTCCCAGAAAAATATAACTTACCAATATTCAATCATATAAAAATGAAAAATCTGAATAGTCCTATAACTAGTAA